CCGCGGCCCGGCGCCAGCCATCTCGCTGCCCCGTGGCTGGGCTTGGCGGCGAGCTCCTCGGTGCTGCCCGCAGGGGTGACTGGTGGCCACGGGTATCAGAGCAGCCTCATGGCACAGAGGAAAGGGCTGAGTTTGTAGTGCAAGGAGCACCCTGAGGCGAGGCTCGAAGCCTGTCTGCTGGGGTCAGCCTTGGGATGACAGGGCAAGAAGGCCCTGGGGGAAAATCTGGGTGCTCCCAGCACTTCAGAGTGTGTTTGAAAGAGGGGGGAAGGGCCCCGGCACTTTGTGTGCCATGTAATCCCGCTGTCTGTCCCCGCTGCCTTGGCAGCAAGGTCATGGTCGCCTCAGGCAGCTGCAACCGCCAGGGACCTCCCTGTAAGGGCCCGAAAATCTCCTAGGAAAGGTGAGAAAGGTGGCGTCAGTGCACCCAGGGACATTGTCCCTGTCCGAATGTTTTGGTGTATTCATTGTTGGTGTTGTTGTTTTTCCCCCACTAAAAAAAACTTTAACATTAAATGAACGGGCATGAATAGTAAACTGCAGTCTTAAGTTCTCATAAAGTCTGCAGACTGAATCTTTTAATATGTGTTGAACACACAGAGATGCTACACTTTGTGTTAGACTTCAGTGACATAATACAGCTCAGGCCAACAAATGTCTCAAAAAAATGAAAAGGGTCACCAAATACACTCTGTATTCAGGAGCTGCTGCTACAGGCCCAAACTTCACAGGCTGGATCCTGCCAGGCTTCTGAGCGACTTGCTGTAGGTCAGAAAGGTCTTGGATTTGATGTTATTGGGCTGGCACATCTCCAAGATTAGAAGCGCTATTTGCTTCCTGTAATGTTTTGGGAATATGTGTTTGCTTTTTGTCATAATACCAAACCAACAAATACAGGCTGAGAGGATGTAACTGATAGGTTACAACCTCTAAGACAGAGTTCGTGGAAGGCAATTGCAGAGATTGTAAGAAATAGAGCGTACTACTATAGCTCAAAGCAAAGAAATTCTCACTTTTACCCTCCAAGATAAGGTGATCTCAAAACACACATGGAAAAAGGGTAAATAGACTTATCCTTGTTATGAACAAAACATCAGTATATTTCTGTCTCCATACCAATAGTAAAAATTTCTCAGAAAAGTTGACTTGAATAAAAGAATGTCAAACTGCGAAAGTTGGAAAAACGCACATCACTGCACAGGACATTGACTCTGGACACAAGAAATCACATTTCAGTTTCTGCCTAAAATACAGATTTCCTCTTTGGTCTTGGAAAGTCAGTCTGTTCCACGTTTCAGGGCCCTACAGAACACCAGAATTATTGGTTTAATAATACTAATTACTTGCTTCATTAAGGAATGTTAATAAACTCCAGCATAATGTGAAGGTGAAAATACTTAAAATAATGCCCTAGAGACAGAAGTGCATGTAGGCCATGCTTCTGGGTTTCAGAAATACTCATGCCACTAAACCAGATGCAAATCGAAAATGCCTCAAAGCAGAGCTATGTCCAGAGGCAGTGTTCTGGTTCGACAGGGTCCAGGCAGGGAGTTGTGCGGTGTCACAGCAACTTTTCTAGAAGGTTGGCCGTTCCAAGACAGGGAAAAAGGACGCATCTAAGGCAAGTCTAAACAGATTTTTCTGTTAGATTAAAAAGAGATGAAAAGTGTTTGTCCAGGAGAGGGGAACATGTGTCTTTAAATTTGTTATAGATAAATGGGCAGCGGGCATAGCAGCCAAGATTTCCTTGTCTGAGAGGCTGAAGCTAATACTATCATCTGTAGTTAAGACCCATTTGTCAGAGTATACTGAGAATAAAGAAAATAATTCTCCCCTCCCTTTTTAATTTGACTTAATCAGCCATAATTCCCCCTATTGAAATAAAGGTATTTCTAATTGCAGGACACATTTCTGTGACCTTACCTTCGCTAATACAAATACATAGCTCCACATAAAGGAAAAATAAAAGCCAAACAAATGTGCTACAAAAACAAGATGCTCCACTACACTCACGTCCTTCCTCGGGAGAGGAGGACAGAACAGACAACACGTGACAGATGTTAGCCACATAGTTCAGTGCCCTACTGGGAGGCATGCAAATACTATCATGGTGAGCACGACGGGAGAAAATACATAGAAGAAAGCAGCACATTTGTTGTATGTATGTCAGATTTGCCCCTACATAGCTATGAGGAGGCATGCACTCATAGCACAGCATTGAGTACATAACGCAATTATAATTGGGTGCAATATGTTCACAGCATTTAAAAAATGTTGTCTTAAAAACTGAGTGCTACGTTCAGATGGCTTAAATTCCCCATGAGTCCCTGTGCCTACTGCTTCCTACTGGCTGCTTCTGGTCCTTCAGTGGTGCCCAGCCAAGAGGAAACTTCAGGGCACAGATGGAGTTCAGGCTAGACAGTCCATAACCTTCCCTGGATCCCGCTGGCATCCTGTGGTGCGAAACCTGCATCCCAGAATTACTTGGAGCAGTCATCCTCCCAAGCCCGATGAGCACACTTGCCTAAAATAGTCCCTTGCAAAGGTGTGGTGAGGCCAGCCTCAGGGCTCACAGAATTGCTGAGGAGGACTGGGAGCCTCAGAATATCCTTGTAATTCATCTGTAATGTTAAACTTTAAATAACTGCCTTCCTCTTTCACTCCTTTTCTACCTCGGCTAAGAAATGAGACATGCACTGTGTAAAGGGACTGTCACCAGCTGTTAATAAGAAAGCAGCTTTAGCTTCTCTCCACTTCTCTTGTTCACACGTAGACAGTGTTGGAAATCAGTGAAAACGGGTGTAGCCCCTCTGCTACCGCCACCACCACCTCCCACAAAGAGAGCAAGTGAGAAAGGGAAGAGGAAAGGTTGAAGAAACGGGCTGACCTACTTAGGTACTGCGAAGGACGAGCATGCGGGCTCCGAGTGCTAGGATGGCTGTATGCGTTTGTTCTGGGCACCTACTGTTACCCTGGCATCCTTCCAAACAAATGGCTTTACACCCAATTCCAAAACAGTTCCTTCCTCCTCCTCTTCAAAATATGCCCTCCCCACCGTGCACGCTCTCCCTGTGATCCTTGCCGCACTGGTTTTAAAACGGCCTTTTCCCCGAGCAGTCAGCCAGCCCCTGTCTTCTCACCCACCTGTTAATACCTGGCCTCCTGTTTGTCACATTGCAGCTCTGGGCTCTCTACCAGGAATTCCCCCCTGCTTCTGTGCCGCAGCCACTGCTTCCGGCATGGGCCACCTGTCCCTCCTGTCTCAGCTGAGAAAGGACAGGACCTAACTGCAGGGTAGGTGGCTTTCACCGATAGGACCAGCCTTGCAAGGAGTGGCTTCCAGAAGCAGGAAGGAGATATGAGGCAGGCCTCCTTGCTCTCAGGAGTCCTGACTCAGACCTCTTCCCATGTGTCGCACACCGCCCCCCTCCCCTCAGCTGGCTCAGAGCCCCTGAGTGGCATCACTCGAACCCTGTGAATTAGCCAGCCTGAAAATTATACCCACTGGGATCTGGCCAGTTTGCAAAGCCTAGTATCAGCTATTGCAAGGTGGGATCAATGTATTCGGGCAATGGGAATAAGATATTATAAACTCTTCTGGATTTAGATGGAAACCGATCCTTTTGCTCTTCAGATAGCATTTCTGGCAATTCAGAGCAGTTACAATTGCTTGTCAGAACAACCAAAAGTGCTTCCCTGGCAGCACAGAATATCTTACTGAGAGACTGGAAGAACCTTCTTTGGTTTCTATATAAAACCTGCTGATGACTCATATAGGACTCAGAAATTGTCCTAGTTAGAGATAAATAGGAAGATATATTGCAGATATGGAGAGTGAAGCTTGAGTCACAGAACAGGAATTGGGATCAGAAGGCAAACTTTCTTGAAGTTTGGGGTCTTAGGGAGACAAAAAGGCTTTTGTTTGGATTTTCACTCTAGCATCACATTCAGCATTTCTCCTTCCTCTTTTCTTTCCCATTGCCTCATTGGATGTGTTCCGGAATATTAGGAATCTTGTAGTTTCTTTTCTCTCCTTCCTCTGCCACGTTTTCTGTGCTTCATATCAATACTGTCTCTGAGGCAATTAAATAAGGTTCCACTGAGTTCCACAGCACCCAAGTCTGCTTCAGTCTGTTACAAAGACTGCGTAATGATAGTACACACACACAAACCACCATAAAAGACTATTACTATGGATTGCAAAATCAAGCACTGAGAAGCTAGAAAAGACCATTGCTAAGCTGGCTTGTGGAGCTTCAGTTTGGCCCCTTTGTGTGTACACACGTTACTGCAGTCTTTAATTGCATGCACATAAGCCTATGCTGTTTGTCCCACAGAACCTCATCCAGCTCATGAAGCAGGTGGTACTCCTATAATGAAAAGCTATTTATGCGGAGTCTCTGTTCAGTGCAAGACCCCATGCGTTATTCACTGAACATGGTTCAGACCCCAATGTGAAGACAGAATGATTAACTTTCCTGCAGGTTCTTCAAAGATACTTAACCCTAGAGTACCGGTGCGCTTCATTTTTACAACACCTTTCAGAGACAAGGAGGTGGAATTATTCCTGTTTACAGGTAATGAATTGCCTGAGAGATCAGCAGGGTCCTGTACTGCGGGGTGGCCTGTGTGGGACTCCTGGGCTTTCTGTGTTCCCTGCATAGACTCTCTGCTGCATCTGTGGGAGCTCATGATTTCTGCCCATCAGATCCTAGCGTCTCAAAATGGCCTCCCAGAAAATGAAGTAGGGAATCTCCGTATCCACTATGGAAAAATATGCTTTCAGTGATTTACCTTATATCATTTAGGATCTTCTGGAGCCTTCTGGGATTTCCTCGATTTGCCAGAATTAATAGTGGAAAAGGGATTTTCTCAGCCAAAACTTTTACAGCTCTTGCATGCTAATTATCCAGAACAACTAATTTAAAAATATTTATCTCTCTAGGTGTCATCTAAAATACCCTTCCATTATTCATAGATTAGAAAGTACTTTCATAGCTTTCTATGATACTGATATGTTGCCCCATTCCTTTCCAAGTGGAACAGAAAATATGCACTGAGTATTTCCGCATCATTGACAATGTTGGCATCCTCCCGCCCTACTAACAGGCTGATGCCAATTCTTTTTGCTTCTACTGTCTTTAAATCATTCTTGACCTCCTCAGTCTGCTGTTTCCACTGCTCCTTGAACCCACTTTGTCAGTTTTCCACTGACCAAGAGGACCAGCCTTGCAAGGAGCCTCGCCCTTCCATGAGCCTCTGTGGTCTGTGTCTTGTGGCTTTTTTTCTAAGAGATACCTCCTCTTTACCCCTAAAGCAGAATGAACTGTTAGACAAATCTGCCCTTTTCTTGTGAAAGCCTGGCTTTTTGACCATATAATAAGTTCTTTGTAAGCATTCTTATATTCCCTGCTTGGCTTCTTTGTAAATTTTTACTTCCAGTTTTCCTCACACTTTTCATCACCCTTAGGAATGAGCTCTTCTCAAGTGTCAAGTATACATGTTATGGGGAGTACTGCATTTTGGAAGTTTATAGTGAGCGCAATCTGGTCGCGATAACTGTCCCTAAGCCACCATCAACTTCCAGTCCACTGATTATTTGATTTTCACACGCTATAATGAGATCCAATCTAGAGCTCCTTCATGTTGGCTGCCATGTCTTTTGTGTTAGAAAAGTCTCATCTACAGGACTCTTCTGTGAGCACTTTACTTCTTTGAAATTGAAAGCCATTGAAATCCCCCTCTAATAGTGCAGTTCTTTCCATATGCTGTAGAAAAGTCACTAAGAAATGTGGTCCTCTGGTCATGATTTGTCCTCTTCACCCCTTGACCTGTTCTGTCTCCTGCCCTCTAAATGATTTATGCCCCTAGTCTCTCTGCTCCCTATTCCTGACTTCTTATTTCTCTAACTTTTCCTCTTGCCTTACTGGACCTCAAACTACTTATTTTGCCCAGACTCCTCATGCAGCTAGATCCAGTCTCCCCTTGACAGCTCGCCCTCTGATTTACAGCCTATGCCTCCTGTTCTCCCTTTTACCTCATACTGGCCATCAGTCCTAGTTATATTTTCCTGAACCTTCTGTCCAGTCCTAGTGCTCCTCTCCATCTCCTCTTGGCTCTCTGCACTGTTACACCTTGTCCCAGGCCACCCTGTATACCTACTTCCTTGCCACATTTGTCTTCCTTCCCCAGTTCTGCTCTCTACCTCCACTGGTACGGTCATCCCCTGAGACCCAGCCTTCTTCCTGTCCAGCTCCATGGATGATCCCATTGTCTGCCCACAGCTGATCCCCTGGGCTTGCTCGCATTGATGCTCCATTGCTTCCCACCCCTGGCTCCCATTCCCAGCTGACTCGTCCAGCTCATCCCAACCGCACTCAAGCTTCCTCTCCTAGCTCCAATTTCAGCAGACTCTTTGTTTCAGTCTTTCCTTCTCTTTTGCTGCCCTGAATCCAGCTGCCATCTCCTCTGCATTTGAAGCAGACAGCATCAACCTCCAAATTAAGAAGCCACTAATAGGAGGGTCTGAGGCAGTATCTTGACTGAACAGAAAGTACTCAAGGTTTTGTGATCTGGGGTCCTGGATCCTTGATCATCTGGATCAGAGACCTGGACTGACCCTATGCCCACAGATCTGAAAGGAGGTTGAGCGGCAACCTGATGCATACCCACACTCAAGAATTTGGACACGTTTGCAGGTTCACCAGCTTAAACATAACCTGAGGATACCACATGGATGCAGTCCTGTACAATATAGATATGGCCCCTCTTCTCAGTTCTGGCTCTGCCTCAGCCTAGAGCAGCTATTACAGGGAAAGGCTGGCTTCTCTACCATAAACCTGGCCTCAGACGTGCTTCGTTATTTCACAGAGAGACACATATTCAGTTCAGTTGTCTCTGTTGTCTGTTGGACCTAATGATGAGATGGAGCATGCTCTGTGAAAGTGGTATCCTTGGGGGGTTTTCTGTCAAGATCCATAGAGCCTCTACTGAGCAGCCCTTTAGAGTTTTTTTCTCCCCTCAAAAGCAGGTATTGGTCAAATTAGGTGAATTTTCAGAAAAACGGTACAAGGCATATCCCTGATGTTGAGGCCAATCCCCTGCCAGAATTCAAGCCCTGCTTTGAAGCATGGGAATGCTAGAACGGTTCCAAGAAAAAGTTGCCAGAACATTTAAATTTGGGCAAAACAACATATTTTTCCTAAACCTCATTCTTGGAAATGCCCATGCTGATGGATCAGAAATTTTCCAAAAAAAAAAAAAAAATCAATCAACCTGAACAGTACAGAAAATTTCACTTCAAATGATTAATGTTTGGCACACAGCTGTAAACTACCAAAACCACGGTCTTGTAATACAAAGCTGTGGGCAGGTTTTATAATAAACAGCAACATCAAATCCCCTGCAATCATTATTATTCTTCCTGTAATGTTTGCTTTTTTCGTCCTCTCTTGCCCTCTTACTTACGAGTTAAAGGGGATTTTTAAATATCCTAAAAAGATCTTGTAAGGTGAATACTCAGCATTAGATTATGTCATGGAAATAGATACTAGGCTCTGACTTTCAAAAATTAAAATGAGAATTGCAAAAAGAAAAAAAACAATATTGGGAATTTGCTATTTTGCATTCCACAAGCACACCTCCCAAATGTCAAATTTCTTAGCTGTACAACAAGTAAGTAAAGTGTAGAAAATTATTAAATATTTTTCATCCAGTTCTGGGTAAATATACAAACAGTGACTTATTTTCATGGAAATGCACAGGAGAGTTTCTGTGGCTTCAAATTTAATTGCCACATCCAAGATAGTTAAAAAGGAAAAATTTTGAAACTGAAAGAGTTTTATGACGCATGGTTCTACGCAGACACCTGAGAGCCAGTTATTTCTCAGCAGTTGCTAACTGACAGAGTCCAGCTCTTAAGATAAGTGTCACCAATGACAGCATTACGACTGTCAAGGTAGCTTTCGTTCCATGATACAGCGTGTTATCGCCTAATGGCTTGTTGCAAGTGTTGTATGACAGGAATGTCTTTGATTTGGAAGTGGCTTTTCCTATACGTAGAATTGAATTTTAACTTCTGATTAGCTAACTACAATTTTTGCTTCCTGTCTCAGTGACTTTTCTTCCCAAATACAAAGTGTGCATTCAGCTATCTCTTTGAGAGGTGTCTCCTTTGGCTTCCCCGCACTAGAACCACTTATTTTCCTTCATGAGATGGCTGAGCTCTCTGGAAACCCCATTAAATTGCTTTAG